CAAGTGCCCTCCTCCATGCCCATCTCCCCCTTCCCCTCCCCCCCACCCCCATCAGTCCTCACTTTGTTCTCAGCATTCAAGAGTCTCTCATGGTTTGCCTCCCTCTCTCTCTCCCACTATTTTTCCCCTTCTTCTCCCCCATGGTCCTCCGACAAGTTCCTCCTAATCCTCCTATATGTGCAAACATATGGTATCTGTCCTTCTCTGCCTGACTTATTTCACTCAGCATAACACCCTCAAGGTCCATCCATGTTGCTACACGTGGCCAGATTTCATCCTTTCTCATTGCCATGTAGTATTCCATGGTATAGATAAACCACATCTTGATCCATTTGTCCATTGATGGACACTTAGGCTCTTTCCATGTTTGGGCTATTGTTGAGAGTGCTGCTATGAACACTGGGGTCCATGTGCCCCTATGCATCAGCACTCCTGTATCCCTCGGGTAAATTCCTAGCAGTGCTATTGCTGGGTCCTAGGGGAGTTCTATTGTTAGTTTCCTGAGGAACCTCCACACTGTTTTCCAGAGGGGCTGCACCAGTTTATATTCCCACTAACAGTGTAGGAGGCTGCCCGTTTCTCCACATCCTCGCCAGCATCTGTAGTCTACTGATTTGTTCATTTTATTTATTTTATTTATTTAAAAAAATTTTTTAAATGCTTTTATTTATTTGTGAGAGAGAGAGAGAGACAGCGTGAGCAGGGGAGGGTCAGAGAGAGACGGAGACACAGAATCTGAAACAGGCTCCAGGCTCCGAGCTGTCAGCACAGAGACCGACGCGGGGCTCGAACCCATGAACCGTGAGATCATGACCTGAGCTGAAGTTGGACGCTTAGTTGACTGAGCCACCCAGGTGCCCCTGATTAGTTTATGGTAGCCACTGTGACTGGCATGAGGTGGTATCTCAGTGTGGTTTTGATCTGTATTTCCCTGATGAGGAGGGATGCTGAGCATCGATTCATGTGTCTGTTGGCCATCTGGATGTCCTCTTTGGAGAAGGAACAGATCTTCTGCCTATTTCTTCACTGGATTATTTGTTTTTCAGGTGTGGAGTTTGGTGAGTTCCTTATAGATTTTGGATACTAGCCCTTTATCTGATATGTCATTTGCAACTATCTTTTCCCATTCCGTTGGTTGCCTATTAGTTTTATTGATTGTTTCCTTTGCTGTGCAGAAGTTTTTATCTTGATGAGGTCCCAATAGTTCATTTTTGCTCTTGATTCTCTTGCCTTTATTCCAACCCAGTTTTAGAATATACCCACCACTCTGGGGTGCCTGGGTGACTCAGTCAGTTCCACGTCTAGTTCTGGATTTCAGCTCAGGTCATGATCTCACAGTTTGTGAGATTGAGCCCCACATCGGACTCTGTGCTGACAGTGCAGGGCCTGCTTGGGATTCTCTCTCTCTCTCTTTCTCTCTCTACCCCCTCCCCTGCACTCTCTCTCTCTCAACTAAATGAACATAAAAAAAAAAAAAAAAAGAATATAGCCACCACTCTAAAAACATTCTCCTGAGCCCATTATAGTCATTCATTTGAATTTAGAGTTTAATAATGGGATTTTTATGCCAGTGTTTCAGAAATTACACTACTTGGAATGCCTGGGCCAGGTCACTTGGGATAGTCAGAATCTCTAAACATATGGTTTTGGGGGCACCTGGGGGGGTCAAGCGGTTAAGCGTCCGACTTCGGCTCAGGTCATGATCTCACAGTTCATGAGTTCGAGCCCTGCATCGGGCTCTGTGCTGACAGCTCCGAGCCCAGAGCCTGTTTCAGATTCTGTGTCTCCCTCTCTCTCTGACCCTCCCCTGCTCACGCTCTGTCTCTCTCTCTCTATCTCAGAAATAAATAAAACATTTTAAAAAATTAAAAAAAAATAAACATACGGCTTTGACAGGTGAGCTTTCCAAATAACAGCAGGGTTTGGGAACAGCTACCATGAACCTGAAGTTTCCCGTTATTTCTCAGAACATCAGGGCCTAAATCTGTGGACTTCAAAGCAGCGTTTGTAGGATGAACCATGGAGTTACTGGAGGAAAGTTCACCGTTCATTTTCATCTTTAAATGAAAGATGAAAATCTTTTTGGGGGGTGGGGAGGGGCAGAGAGAGAGGGAGGCACAGAATCTGAAGCAGGCTCCAGGCTCCGAGCTGTCAGCACAGAGCCCGAGGCGGAACTCGAACTCATGAGCTGTGAGATCATGACCTGAGCCGAAGTTGGACACTCAACCGACTGAGCCCCCCCAGGCACCTCCAGGATACATTTCTTTGCTGCAGAAGAAATACGGAATGTAGATAGGTGCAAAGAAAAAAGGTAGATTTACTTTACTCAGAGATAATCCATGTTAACACCTGGGTGTATAAACTGCCAAACTGTTTCTCTGCCTTTGTGTGCCTGGAGGGAAGCGTGTTTTGTTTCTCTGTCTGTTTCTTTTTCCTTCTCAAGAAGAAGGCATCGTATTTTCCTGAGTCTTTTTAACTAGAGTGGAGCATCAGAATTGTGTGTGAAGTTTATAAACTCTCTGTATCTGTATCTATCTGTCTATATCTATGCCTGAGCCTTCCTTCATTCTTTACGTATAGAAGGCCCAAACATATATATTTCTTAAAATCTTCATTGGTTATTCTGGGAAGCATTTCCAGTTAAGAACCACTGTTAGAATATCACTATCAAACTTACTTTTCTCTACACACACACACACACACACACACACACACACACACACACACACACACCCCAACTTAACTTTTTTTCACTCATGTCAGTGATTATAATACTTTTTAATGGTTTTCTAACGGAGCCGGGACTAGGGTAAGGAGATTGAGGTATGTGCCTGAAATGCCAGAAAAACCCCACAGCAGCCCCAAGCACAGCAGTCAAGACAAATCCTATGGTCATGCAGTATCTAAAAAATTCAGGCAGAAGTCCATGATGGACACAGTTCTGAAATTTGGAATCGGTGGGATCGGGCTCTGGATTAGCACAGCTGGGTCCCCCCCCCCCCCCCCCATGCAGGCCCTGGCTTTATATCCCAGTTCTCAGCCCCGGGGCATAGTGACGCTTGGGGCCCCATCATTCTCTGTCGTGTGAGCCATGCTGTGCATTGGAGGGCACTTAGCAGCTGCCTCGCCCTCTCGCATCCAGATGTCTGTAGCGCCCCCTCCCCCAGCTGTGACAACCAGAAATACCTCCGGACACTGCCCCGTGGTGGGGGCGGGGCAGAAGGGCCTGAGTGGAGAATCCCGGGGTTACGTGGGGTTCAGTTTCAACAAGTCGAAAGGTGCTGCCCGTGTCCTGCTGGAAGACGTCTGCGGGGCAGTGAACGCTGCAGTTCCTCTGTCGCTCAGTCATCCTCTGCCTCCGTCGATTCGTTTGGCAGTGGTGGCCCCGAGCCTGCCTCCGTGGGGTGGCCCCTGAGGTTAATGAGCTCGCAGCTTTGAGCTTTATTTGGGGAGTGAAGTGGGGCTGTCCAAACTGGAGTCCTTCCTCTTTGATGTCATGTATTTTTACCAGCCGCAGCCCATTCGTAACAGCCGTGAGTGTCACAAATGCTCTTAAGTAGTGACATCATTGCATTTCAGGAAGAAAATGGATACTCTTGGTGACTCAGCTTGAGTTTTTGCACTCATCTGCCCTCCAGTACCCAGACTGGAGTCCTCACTGGGAGGCGTCCCTGCCCTGGATCGTAATGAGAAAGGGAGCCCTATTGTTCATTTCCACCTCCGCATCTCATGCACTGGTCGCGATGCGTAGAATGACCTCGAAGCGTCATGTGGTGTGAGCTTCCCACCCGAGGGCCGGGGTCGGGGGCTTTGGACGTGGAGGTCCTGATTCTTTCTCCTCCAGCTCCTGACCTCGTGCGGAGCTCTTTTGTGCCCCTTCCACGAGAGGACCGGTGGTTTGTCCCCGGGGCAAAAGGAGCGGTAACCTGCCTCTGTGGGTAGGAGACCACATCTGTTTTTATTTTCCCCTGGTATTTGTTGAGGAAGGAGAAATGTGTGTAGGTTAAAGGGCCTGCGTGGAGGAGGCCGGAGATAAACACCGTGCGACGTGAAACTCTTCCATATGGGCAACTGTGAGGGTGTTTGAACCCCGGGCCCTAATGCGGACGCTAGCGGAGCCGGGTAATCAGCGGCACCTTCCTGATGCGTGTGGATTGCCGTTCGCTGTGCGCATGAGCCTTCTCTTCGGGAATTAATTAGAGGGCAGGTTCAGAATCAACAGTTTTCGTTCCTCCCCTGAGACATCTTGGCTGGGAAGGGGGATCACTGTTGATTTGAGAGAGAAGGAAACGGACATGGGGACATCACGCCCATTGCCTGTGATGCCGGTTGGGGCTAATCAGCCTCGCCTTCTGCTCTGTCGTCAGAGGGTTCCCCGGTCTGGAAGTGAGGTCTCTGCAAACCTCCGAGCTGCCGTGTTTCTCCCTCTGCCTGCTGTCGCCAGGTTTCCCCCAGAGTACAAAACCCCAAAGCTCTGCCCCCTCTCACGTTTGAAACACTGCGGGAAGGATTTGACCCCTGTAGACGTGAAATCCGATTGCTTATAACACCCAAACGTTTGTGAGGGACGCCCTTCAAACCCGCTGCCACCAACCCTTGCCGCCAAAGCAAGGACTTTGTCAGAGGTCTTGGTAACATCACCCCCGATGTTACATAATAATCCGGTCCAGGTGCTGAGGAATGTGGGCAAAAGAAGATGCACATCTGTGGCTAGAACATAAATTACAGAGCTTGGAGAGAGCATTCTGGATTTAGTCTTTCCAGCGGAGAGAACCTTTCTGTAAACCCCCAGTCCTTGTTATAATTTTAAGAGTTAAATTCTTTCTAATTAAAAGCACTTGGCAAATAATGATTCATTTAAACTGGAGTTCTGATTCATTCCTCTAATTATCGTAACCATGCGGTGCCCTTTGGCCTGGAAGTGAAACTCCTGTCCTCTTGACACCGAAGGTTAACAGAGCAGGAAGCCGGGGCTCTGTGCGCGCCCGCATGACCAGAATAATTTCGTAATTGTCTAATTACCTGAGGAGTCTAATGCCACTGCTAAAAATAGTATTAAAAAATTAAATGAAAGGCGTTTTCTTCTCATCTGGTCTCTATTTTGGGCAACCACGTGTTACGGGCATAAGACGGGATTCGGTCTAAAGGATCGGATCGCTCCTCTTCTGCGGATAAAATATGTTTCCAATGGACCATGGACTCCAGTGACTCCAAAACATCTCTGACTTCCGGGGCTCAGCCGTGGAGGACTATCATCACAGGGGCTCCTTTTGTCCAAAACTGTGATTTAAAACCCAGAACCGATGTTGGCCAGTTTGCTACTTATTTCTTCTTGGAAGTAGAAAAAAAAAAATCACGTCCGGGGAAGATGGGCCACCATCGCCTTTAGCAGTGCCAAGCTGTTAATTCGCTCCTCCAAATGCCTGTGCACGCCGGGCACTGCCCTGGGCCCTAGATGAATCACACACACCTGGACAGGTTCTCTGCTCATGGTTTGACAGGAGCGTCATCAGGTAAACAAGTCGGTTTTAGACGGAACACGGCATCCCGCATTGCAGTTGGAAGTGTGACTTCGGCAGGAAGATAAGCCGGGGCCCTGGCGGAGGGCCTCTTTGAGGATGTAGTGAGATCTTGGAGACCTTCAGTGATGAGATGGAGCAAGCCAGCCCTGCTGAGATCTGGGAAATGATATTCCAGGCGGAGGGCAAAGCAGGTGCAAAGGCCCTGAGGCAGGAAGGAGCGTGGCAGTGTTTAAAGAACAGAAAGGCCAGCGTGGCTGGAGCAGAGGGGAGGAGGAGGAACGTGGTTGCAGAAGTGGGCGGGGGCTGGCCGGGTGGGCGCTGGACCACGGAGGGCACCTGAGGTCTGTCGAACCCTGAGTGCAGGACAGGCCCCCGCAATAGAGAAGTGTCCTCTCCAGTGTCAGCAGTGCCCAGCGAGCAGCCTTGGCCTCACCAGCCTCGCCTGTGGTGAGGTGGGCGCTTCATTCTGTCAGAGGCCCCTGACACACTGAAAGAACAGACTCCCGTGTTCACAGGTAGAAACACCCACGTTCACTGAATTGTACGTGTTTCCTCTGTTTTGCTGCCTTTTTGTTTGTTTGTTTGTTTGCCAGCTGTCATTGATTAGGTTCCTGAAACGTACTTGCCGTTTGTTGCGGTGTCACTGCAGCTGTATCTGAGCGCTGCGTGTCGAAGCCACGGGAAGAAAAGCAGTGTGTCCGCATGGCTGTTCCTCCGCACGTTCTAGACCCTTCCGTGTCTCCAGTCGTCCTCTTCGTTCTTTTCTCTCTCCCGCAGCAAGCCCAGGACCCGCCTGCTCAGAAGGGCCCCACGCTCACCACCAAGGTGCGGCGGACCATGAGCAGCCGCGTGCACGAGGCCGTGAAGGCTATCGCCCTGTGCCACAACGTGACCCCCGTGTACGAGTCCAACGGCGTGACCGACCAGGCCGAGGCTGAGAAGCACTACGAGGACTCCTGCCGCGTGTACCAGGCGTCCAGCCCGGACGAGGTGAGCTGCCGGCAGAGGCGGGCGGTGCCGAGCCGTGCCGGGCGCCTGTTTCCCACATGCTGAGGGTGGGGTTCCCCGAGGGAGCCGCCTGTCCACGGGCACAGGCCGGGCGACCCAGCGCTGCCCGGGAGCCACGTTTTCACGTGCCTGCAGAACTCCCCTCCCTCTAGAAGAAGAAGGTCTCTTGGACTTAAGATACATCCCAAATAGGGGGCGTCCAGGGGCTCCATCAGGTAGGCGTCCGACTTCGGCTCAGGTCATGATCTCACAGTCCGTGGGTTCGAGCCCCGCGTCGGGCTCTGTGCTGACAGCTCGGAGCCTGGAGCCTGTTTCAGATTCTGTGTCTCCCTCTCTCTCTGCCCCTCCCACCCTCTGTCTCTGTCTCTGTCAAAAATGAATTGACATTAAAAAAAAAAGGTTTTAAATCAATGAAGATACCCAAAGTACTTCATTAGGAAAACAAAACAAAAAAGAAAGAAAGAAAGAACAAAAGAAGATCTACCCCAAAGAAGCAAACAGCAGAGATCATGATTGTGATTCTACGTGTGATGGCCAGCATGTAGGGTCCCGTTTAAACCACATCTTCCCTTTTTTAAAAATATCAGCTTTGGGGCGCCTGGGTGGCTCAGTCAGTTAAGCATCTGACTTCAACTCAGGTCATGATCCCGTGGTTCTTGGGTTCAAGCCCCACATCAGGCTCTGGGCTGCCAGCAGAGCCTGAAGCCTGCTTCGGATTCTGTCTCTCTCTCTCTTTCTTCCCCTCCCCCGCTCTGCTCTGGTTCTGTCTGACTGTTTCTCTCTCTCGAAAATAAATAAAACATTAAAAAAAATAAAAATATCAGCTTTGTTAAGATACAATCCATACGCCACGCAATTACCCACTGAACATATAGAGTTCAGTGTTTTAGTATATTCACGGACTGAGGCATCCATTACCATGGTCAGTGTGAGAATATTTTTATCTCCCTGAAAGGAGGCACGGCATCCCATATCCTCGTGGGCTCCGGCCCTTCCCCCAGCCCGATCCCTCTGGATTTGCCGAGTCTGGACATTTCATACAAAGGGACACGTACAGTATGTGGCATGTGTGTCTGGCTTCCCTCACTTAGCGCTTGTTCTCAGGACCCATCCACGCAGTGGACGGTATCAGTCCTTCGTGCCTTCGTATGTGTGAGTAATATTCCATGGTGTGGCTAATACTGCATCACATGAATGCATTTATCTGTTGATGGGCATTCGGATTGCTTCTTTTTTCTTTTCTTTTTTTGCTATCATGGCTACCTCTGCTGTGAACCTTAGTTTCACGAGTTTTTGGGTGGATGTGCACCTTCCTTTCTCTTGGAGTATCTTTAGGAGCGGAATTGCTGGGCTGTCTGGTCAAAACTCCATGTCTGACCTTCTCGAAACTGCCACACCACTCTTGCCAGTGGCTGCATCATTTTGCATCCCCACCGGCCACATGGAAGGCTTCCGGTTTCTCTCCTTCTTTGCCAACAGGTGTTCTTGTCAGGCCTTTTGACTCTGGCCACCCTAGGGAGCGTGAAGGGAAGTCTCCCTGTGGTTTTCACTTGCGTTTCCTCAATGGTCAGTAATGCCGAGCACTTTCTCATGTGCTTATCGGCTGTTTGTGTATCTTCTCCTCTCCAGAGTCCTTTGACCCCTTTGTTGTTTTTAATTTTTTTTTAATGTTTTATTTTATTTCTAGGAGAGAGAGAGAGACAGCGTGAGCAGAGGAGGATCAGAGAGAGAGGGAGTCACAGACTGAAACAGGCTCCAGGCTCTGAGCTGGCAGTCAGCACAGAGCCCGACGCGGGGCTCGAACCCACGAACCGCGAGATCATGACCTAAGCAAAAGTCGGACGCTTGACCGACTAAGCCACCCAGGCGCCCCATCCTTTGTCCCCTTTGAATTACGTGTCTTTTTGATGTTCAGTTGAGCTTTTTTAAATACATATTCTAGATCAAAGCCTCTCACAGGATATGTGATTTGCAAGCATTTTCTCCTCTTACGAAGGCCATCTGTTTACTTTCACGACGGTGTCCTTTGAGACACTAGTGTTTGATTCTGATGAAGTTCACTAAGCCACGTTGTTGTTTATATGTAAGCACTTTCTTTTGCTAGAACGAGAGGGAATCACGTGACTCCATGTTCCAGAGCAGAGGGTCTCCGAGCATGGTTGACCTTTATTGTTTCCTGTAACAAGCCTCTAGGTGCTTTCCCTCCCGGGGTCCCACACTACAGGAGCACTCTCTGCGTATGTGGACGGGAGCACTCGGCCAGAATGAAAATAACATATTCTTCGTCTTCCTGACTTGAGTAGGATTCAAACACAGGGATGTTTCACCAGTCTAGGAACATTCTGGTCTTTTTTCCTTCTCCCCTCTTCCCTTCCAGAAAACTTGTATTCTGATGATGAAAGCCGTTACCTTTCAATATAGAGAATTTGGACCCTTCAGACAACTATCAGAAGACACTGGGTCATTTGCAATCTCGGTCTTGAAAGGTGACAGTAGGTAACTTTCCTTGAGCACCTGATACCCATCAGATCACATTTGAAGTGCTCTCCGTGTATTATCTCACTTAATCTTTCTAGCAACTAAGAGGAACTTTTATTCTTCCCATTTTCAGAAGAGAAAAATCCAGGACAGAGAGGTAAAACATTTAGCCTGAAGTCACCTAGATTTTTTTCTTTAACTTTTTGTTCTGGAAATAATTTCAGACTTACAAAAAAAGTTGTAGAATTAGTACAAAGAATTCCCCTTTTACCAAAACTTCACTCAGATTTTACCAACGGTCACCTTTTTCTACTTGGGCTTTATCATTCTGTCTCACCTTTGAAGAGTCAGCTGCAGACTTGGTCCTTTTTTGCTTTTTTTTGAAAAAGTTTTTTAAGTTTGTTTATTTTGAGAGAGAGAGAGAGCAAGCGAGCAGGGGAGGGGAGACAGAGAGAGAGAGAGAGACAGACTCCCAAGCTGGTTCCACATTGTCAGTGTGGAGCCACCCACATGCCCTCAATCCTTTTTTGCTTCTAAGAGTCTTAAATTTTTTTCCTAAGAAAAAAAGACCTTCATCAGATTCAGGAAATTGACATTGAGACAGTACAGTTCTCTGTCCTGCAGATGTTACTCAAACGTCATTGGTTGTCCCACTGACAGCTTCTTACTTCTGCACGCGCGCGCACACACCCACACACCCACACACCCACCCCCCCACACACACCCATGAGAATCCATTCCAGGAACACACACTGCATTCAGTCGTCACACCTCTTATCTCCTTAAGTCTGGGACTTGGCTTTCCTTGACTTTCACGCCTTGACACTTTTGAAGAATACAGGCCACTCTCTTGTGGAACGCTCCTTAGTTAGAGTCTGACCTAACTCCACGTCTGCGCCGATGGCGCTGTCCTCAGTGTCTGTTACAAGGAGGCGCGTGCTGGGTTGCGGCTCCCTCCTTGCTAACTGGTTGGGTAGCAGCAGCCCCTGAGTGACGGGGCCGGGGTTTCAACTGGGGGGCCTGTTGTCAGAACCCAAACTCGTAGTCATTGTACTAAGTTATCTTCTAGAAGCCACTAAGAACTTTTTGATGTGTGATCTTCCAATATCTTTTCTTTTCTTTTTAAATATTTTATTTCTTTTTTTAAATGTTTTATTTATTTCTGAGAGAGAGAGAGACAGCATGAGCAGGGGAGGGTCAGAGAGAGAGGGAGACATAGAATCTGAAACAGGCTCCAGGCTCTGAGCTGTTAGCACAGAGCCCAATGCGGGGCTCGAACCCACGAACTGTGAGATCATGACCTGAGCCGAAGTCAGACGCTTAATCGACTGAGCCACCTGGGCGCCCCCAGAATCATTTTAAACCAGTGTTACAAGGGCTTCCACTTATTTTTTGTGGATCATTTTAAGAAGGAGGGAGGGGCCCTCTCTGGTAAATGAAGTGTTCTGAAGGTCTGGACAAACTGGAGAACATCAGTGAGCCCGGGGCTTGATGGCGGGTGTGCAGTCACCACAGTGAGAACCTGTTCCAGAGTTCAAAAATGAGAGGACTTTTGGATGTGGCTTTCCCTGTCCAGTAGCTTCCTTCTCCTTCTTGGGGGCCCCTGGATTGTGGCCCCTGGGAGAGGACCCCTTGTCATCTGTCTTTCTTGGGGGCCCATGGATTGTGTCTCCTGGGAACTGACCCCTTGTCGTCTGCTTGGTGTTTGGGGGACAGCACAACTATGCACCGAGTTCATCCGTGACTACTGACATTTGAACCAGATTTTTTGGGTGGAAAATGTTGTAACCCTTGGCCCGATTCTGAAGTGGGCCTTGCGTGCAGAGCGAGAGAAGTGGAGGGAGGGGGAACAGATACGGATGATCCGACCCATTTATTCTGACTTGTGCTGTAATAACCAAAAGCTTCATATCTGTCATCATTTCTCCATTGAATTTAGTCTATTTGATCTTGCTTTTCCATTTGGAGCTGGGAGACAGAACCCTTGAGAGAAGGTGTCTGAGAGGGCCAGATTCTGGGTAGTTGTGGGCCGGGAATGAGTAGCTCATGGGGCGTTTAATGGGATGGGCATTTGACCAAGTTTCAGAAGCCGACGATCTGATTAGGACCGCTACCTGTGAGCGCCTATATTGGCTATTGTTTGGCCTTCAATGCCCGTCTCACGCCCTTGCTTCCCACTGAACCTTTGATATATTTGGTTTAGGCCCAGGCAGAGTTTTTCCATGAGGGTTACTCTTTCTCGGAATGCTTTGTGCTTCTCAGCTCCCGTTCAGGAATTGCAATTAGATTCAGATTTATCTCATTTTTCTAAGATTCCGAGTAGTGATTCTAAAAAAAAAAAAAAAAAAAATTTTCTTTTGGTATTCGGTGTCTTCACAGAGGTCAGTGTTACCTTTTTGGTACCCCGCCCCCCAGCTTTATTTTTTATCATACAGTTTTTTCATGTTTATGTGAAAATACAGGTAAAAAAATAAGAAGCAAACCGTAATCCTACTAACTAAAGG